TTAAGTGCATCCAACTTTTATCGGTTAAATAATCTTACAGCCCAGCATGTCTCGGCCTTAACTGGCCATTTTCATGAGCATTCAGTACTAAAGAAAATCTTACACAGTTTACATAAAGTATTTTAAAACGTTTGAGTTATCGAAATTACATGTAATTTTAGATCCTTAAAATTGTAAAAATTGTGATATGCTGAAATCAACGATCAGTAGAGGTAGTTAGTTAGTTATTGGAGAGGGTGGGTTTCCCCATGCACTTAAACCAGTATTGGTCCATTGTGCTTCCCTCTATGATATTCTACCAGTCTCTATACCCTACCGATATTGGTGCGTACCATCAGTCCCGACCGAGCCAGCGAGTTCGGCCTCTACTGGCTTAGCGGTATCTATAATGCTTCCCCCATCTATCAGAGGCGTTAGAGACTACTGTTGGGCGGGAAATGTCCCTGAATTTGGCTCAGTGACCTCCTTTGGAGATATGAGGTTCTTTTACGTGCCGTAAAGCTACGACACGGGACCCACGGCTTAAAGTCCCTCCCGGAGGACTTGTTCCCTGAATTTTTCCGCCCTTAAAAATTCCACGACCTCCGCCGGGTTTGAACCCGCGTACTACGAGTCATGAGGTGGGAACGTTACCTCTAGACTACGGAGGCCGCTTATCAGTAGAGGTAAATACTTTTTTGTTATCCTTAAAAGTAATTTTGAAGGTCGTGTTTCACATGATGGGCTCATAATCCATTTCAAAATGTCTACGTGACAGTGTCTTGCGGCTTCCATTTAGCGGTTTAGGTCAGTCGGATCGCTCAACACTTCGACACTTCAGTATTATGTGACGCACGAACACATCGCCCTTCATTATAACAAACTTATAGACATTACTATCTCTTCTAGATTACTCTACTGTAAGTTGTATTTTCAGTTTACTCTTAATTTCAATGGGTCATTCATCAGACCTCTGAATTCATGTTCAGTTTTATTCATTTCTGTACAGTCCTTTTTCGGGCTTACGGTTTTAAATTTTATTTACTGTGTTTTGTCCTTTTCCTCCTTTCCTGTCCTAATATCATGTATCTGTGTTAGAGTTTGTGCCATTATTAGTTTGTAAACTTTTATTTAGATATATTCCTTGAACACAAAATATGTAGAGCATCATACTCCACAACGATAAGTAAAGATCAAATACGTGATAGCTGATCGTTAATAATGTTGAAATACTTAGCAAGACAAATGGAATTAGAATTTCATTTTGGCATCAAGGTGGTTAATTGGAGCGCAGGTCACAGCGCAGCCTATCAGAATATTCCTTTTATAATGTTTTTATCTAAATTGTGTTTCCTAGAACGGTGTGACAGAATCACTAGATAACTGAGTGACGGAATGTAAGCTTGATCTATCGAGCTTGTAAATGTCACGTGTTAATAACAGTACACACTTCCGGCGGGGAGCCGGGATAGCCGAGTCAGTATAGCGACTGGCTACAGGCTGGACGACCGAGGGGTCGAAGTTCGAGTCCTGATGGAGACAAGAATTTTCACTTCTCCATGTCGTCCAGGCCAGCTCTGGGGCCCACCTACCCTACTATCCAATGGGTACTGGGGACTCTTTCCTCGGGGGTAAAGCGGCCGGGGCGTGAAGCTGACCACTCACCTCCAACTAGTGCCGACGTCAAGAAAATATGGATCTATACATTCATTCCACATACGCCTTCATGGCGTAGTGCTTAATAAGTTAAGCACATGGACAACTTTACCCTTACCTTTCCACATTTCCGACAGGTGCATCAAATGTGAAGATGTTTCACTGTTGCTAGTCAACGATGTAGCAAATTTCATCTAAAAGTGAGATTTTTAATTGTCAAACATGGATGTTATACAGTCTTCTTGTATATCCCACGGCTGTTTGCAGAATCATGTTGAGAGCAGGCTTCTAGAGCGAGTTAACATTAGCGTTCCCTCTCCATTCCTTCACTCAAATTTTATTTCATATCTGTTCACTAATTATGACTTGCCTCCTCCACAAGATGTCGCCACTCTCCCTCTCCTGACCCACATAAATCTAGTCCATATCCATCCTGTTTTTCATGATCTGTTTTAATATTATCCTCCTAGATCTTCCAGCTGATCATTGGGGTAGGCGGGCCTTTCACGGACATCTTCTAAATCCGGACACGTAACGTTTCCGTAATTTGTACAAGGTGCGTCAGAAAGAATGAATGGATTTCAATTTTATTGCCCTGTGAAATCCATCCACTCTTTCTGACGCACCCTGTACTTAAACTTGTCATATTCCAAGCTACCCGCTAATGCCAGCGCTTTTCTCGAACAGAATTTAGGCCTCCATAGAGTGAACAGATATGCATTTTGTGCTCCAGGGGTTGTGAAGAAAAGTAAGGTTAGATTTTACCCTCAACGCACAGCACGGTAAGAGACTCTGTATAGTAAGAGAGAAACATACGGAAAGTGCAAATATGGTTGAGTTTAGACGCATTCTGGCTCTCAGATTCGTTTTGCTTCCCACCTCGGCGGCCCGGGTTCGATCCCGGGGTCTGGTGAAGTGGGATTTGTGGTGGACAAAGTGGCGCTGGGGAAGGTTTTCTCCGAGTACTTCGGTTTCCCCTGCCAATCTTCATTCCACCAATTGCTCCACAATCACCCTCACCTATCGTCTGGGGCTGGTACAATAGGCCAGAAGTGGCCGCAGTGCAAGGGACTTAGTCCCACCCCACTAGCAATAAAAAATATTATAGGAAACAAGAAAAAAGAGGAATTATCAAAACGTAAATTTATTTTTACTTGTGGGGGCTTCCACAGTTTGTCTACACAGCCCTACTACGTGTAGATCCAGTAGTAGCATCACAACATCCTAAACAACACTTAGAGCTCCTCCAGCAAAGGGAAAATCAAAATAAACCAGACAAAATCAGTGCAAGTTACATTCACCACGAAACGCATAACTTGCTCGCAGGTTACCATCAATAATATGCAAATACCGAATCCAAACCTAATTAAAATATGTAAGATTTGAGGCTTTCACGGCGGTGCCAAATCCCAGAAAACTGCTTTCTTCTAATTAAAATACTTGGGATTATGCTCCGACAAAGAACTGACATGGCAGAAACACGTCAAAACAAAACGTCAAAAATTAAATTTAAAACTACGAGATTTACGGCTTTTGGGCCGTAAATCCAAGCTATCTATAGAAAACAAACTTCACTATATAAGTGTATAATAAAACCAATATGAACATAAGTTATACAGCTATGGGCTNCACGAAACGCATAACTTGCTCGCAGGTTACCATCAATAATATGCAAATACCGAATCCAAACCTAATTAAAATATGTAAGATTTGAGGCTTTCACGGCGGTGCCAAATCCCAGAAAACTGCTTTCTTCTAATTAAAATACTTGGGATTATGCTCCGACAAAGAACTGACATGGCAGAAACACGTCAAAACAAAACGTCAAAAATTAAATTTAAAACTACGAGATTTACGGCTTTTGGGCCGTAAATCCAAGCTATCTATAGAAAACAAACTTCACTATATAAGTGTATAATAAAACCAATATGAACATAAGTTATACAGCTATGGGCTGTACAAAACCATCAAACACAAAAATAATTCAAAGTCTTCAATCCAAATTCTTGCGCTCAGTAACTAGAGCACTTTGGTATGTCTCCAACTTTTATTATCCACAATGATTTGCAAATCCCATTTGTCACAGAAGAAATATAATGTATAGAGTCAACACTCAACCATCAAAGCATACTCGGACACAATAACAGATTAGGTGTAGAATATTATATTTAAACGTCCTGTAGCACTCTATACGATAAATGATATGAACTCCGTCCCAAGTGCAAACAATATATTATATGTCCTTGATCTTGCTCTCCTTTACACTACATGTTTCGGCCTCAATCTATAAACTAGACAGATATCAACGAAGTAGATGTTGATAATAACAACAAAAGGAACAATGTGTTTTTAAATGTTAAATTTTAAACTAAGTGCAGTGTAACAGCAACGTGAGTGTATACACCTGATGATGGCCGTTTGAGGCCGAAACATGTAGTATAAAGGAGAGCAAGATCAAGGACATACAATATATTGTTTGCACTTGGGACGGGGTTCATATCATTTATCCTATCTAGGTGTAGAAATTAGCAACCCACCAAATGTAATAAGAAGACTGAGGAGACAGTGGCCGTCTGACCTACCACAACCCGCAGATGACGGATATTAAAACCATCACCATTCCTCTACAGGGCCTGTCAGAGTATCATCAGTGGATGACTTCTCTACTCAAGACACCTAATTAGAACTTTTTAAAATGCTGGTGGCGTTGGACTAAGTCCCTTGTACTGCGCCCACTTCTGGCCTCTTGTACCAGCGTCACTTTGTCCACCATAAATCCCACTTGACCAGACCCGGGATCGAAGTCGGGGTGCCGCGGTGGGAAGCCTGCGACTAACCACTTGTGCTATTGCGCGGCTCTAGAACAAATTTACTTATTACTCCTTATTATCTAGAGCAGCTTGTAAATATGCTATTAATTAAATAATAAAAAAATCCGCCACTGGTTCAAGTCCAGAGTCCTGTTTAACTTTTCGTAACACACTAACATTTTAAAGTGAGCGGTATTAGTCCCCCGCACAGCCCCTATTCTGCCGTCCGAACTGCATACTCGGTTTGTACTCAGCTGCCCTCCATATGTGGAGGCAGCCTCCTCCATCCGCAGCCTAAGGACGGGTTATGCGTTGATGACCTAAAATGGTTTCGTATTTGGGTAGTCCCGGCTTCAGATCTGGACTTTTCCTTTCCGACAAACGGCTAACTTGTATTTGCACTATTGAATTTCATCTCTTTCATCCCAGTTCGTTATGGGGTTTGAGGAATTAAGTATTCAGAACGATTCACAGCCTTCTCGTTCTGCATTTCCTTTACTTCAGTGGCCAAATGGTTTGGGCAGCTGCAGGAATAGTGTTTGCCACATGTTGCAGGCTGCCGAGAGCGGTAATGTGGAGGACTTCGGGCGCCTGTACCTGGCAGAGCCGGGACGTCTCGGGGTGCGGGATTCTAGAGGCAGGGCGGCGGCTCATCAGGCGGCTGCGAGGAACAAGCTGAACATCTTACAATTCATTGCCGCACATGGAGGAGGTATGACATACTAAAAACGTAATGTATAGGACGATTCAGATTTCAATATAAAACTAGAAAATCAATCGTGGAGCAAAGGGCAGAGAAGTTCCCTTAAACAACATAACTCAAAAGTTACTTGCACCCTGTAGCAACTACTTCAAGTTCAACAATGTTGTCGTGTTTTTTAGAATAGTCTGGTAAAAATAAAATATTACCTTTCATTTATTTTAAGAAGTATGATTTTGACAATGTTTCTCTAAGCATGGTTTAGAGACACCCTATGGCTAGTTCCGCGGTATATATATTTTTTTTCTTTCGGAACGAGATGATTACAAATAACGACATGTATTATCCTTTATTTGCCACACTTATTAATATATTTTAGGACATGTTTGGATGCTATAACTTCAGCAATTCTCTTTATGGAACCATAAAATAAATATAATGTTTCTATCTTTCTCATCATTCAGAATAGAATTACATACGATATCTTCTGAGAACCGTGGTAAATATTACAATGTAAATAATATCCTTGTGTTTTATGGCTCAAGCGTGTGAACATGAATATTTTTGTTCATTTTTGTTTACTTTATCTTCTCTGGTATACGATTTAAAATAAATATCCCATGTGCTTTCGAGCACCGTGTATCAATTATTTGAACTTCAGTAATTTATTTTCCTTATATTGTAAAAAAAAAATGTTCTTCAATGCTGCATTTCCTATTCATAAGTTCCTACATGTTGAATTCCGCAGGGATACAAACCATACTACCGTTCGGGCATTTTCGATTTAATAAGTGTCTTTTCATATGTGGTGAGTTTCACGTTTTAATTCCACTAGGGAATATCTTTCAAAGAAGACAGCTGGTCCGGCGGATATATCCATAAGACCGATGCAGAATCGGTACATAACCCTTACTTAAACATGAAAAGTACCAGAAAAGTAATGTATTTTAACATTTTTTTTTTTTTGAAATTCTGAAACAGAAATTCCAATACATAAGTTTCTCTAAAAATAATTTTGTATAAACGAAAGGATTTCCTTGCAAAATTATTTGGACTCGTCTTACAAAATATTGTGCTTTTACTTCCTCCCATTTCATTGATTCATTGATTATTATGCCGAGTGCCCGCGCTTTACGAAGATTCGCATCACGAAATTTTGCCCATACGAACGTTCCTTGACTTGTCTTGGCATGCGAACACGAACTTGCTTACAGATGGTAACGGTGTTTAAAAAACCGTCACATGTAACTTGTAGTATTTGGGGGAAAGATATAGTTATCCCTGTAACCGGCCACGGAGGCCCATAGGGTTGTGAGACGTCGACGTTCTCACATTTCTAGGCAATCGGCTCACGGATGGCGGTGAGGTTGTCAGCCTCCCCACCCCCAGGAAGATTCCTGGTACTCATTTCTGTTAGAGGCTGAATCGACCCCAGAGCAATATTGCGGCTGGAAGGATTAGGGCAATTGAAAAATCCAGTGACATCGGGAATCGAACCCGCGACCTTCAGACTTGTGGCATAGTGCCTCAACCAACTACGCCACTGGGTCCGCCGTGTTGTTGGAGGTGGAGGATGAAATGAAGGAACTGAATAATGATGGTTCCATGTATTTAGTACAGAACTATTTGGCTTATTTTGGACTCTATCCATCGTCTAGTACACGTATATAGAAGATTGAGACTAGCTCTTTCTAAGGGGCTCAACTGAGTAGGTTTATCCTGCCCCATCCACCTGAGGACGGAGACAGATCCAGTGTCCGAAACGTGTTTTTTTTTTCATCGTCTGGTATATATATACCAGACGATGGAATGATGGGTAGAGTCCAAAATAAGACTAATATTTCTGTACAGCATACACCATCGTCAGAATCCTTTCAAGTCTGTTCCATGTATTGTTAGTTTCTGGGAATAAAGCTGGCGATATAGCATATATATTGGGGGGGGGGATTTTGGGGTCGCTCGGAAACTCACAGATACGGCATTGCACCTATGCGAATTGGCGATTGAGACTTCGCTGCTTTATAAACTGCCTCCACGAACGTAGCTATTCGCGAAGGCAGAGATTATCTGCTTAAAGATGACTTTTCGTCGGCGACACAGTATATTAACGCGACCTGTTAACATCCTAACAATGTGTAGTTGTAGCCTCCAAAATAATATGCTTTCTCACCTCTTCCGATGTTTCGGTATAATTCGTATGAATTTCAATGCCATAATTATCAAAATAAATTTACTCCTTTTTGTTAACAGTTCAAGCCTATGGTCGCTATTGAAACAAATAACCACTTGAAATTGTTATGTCCTCTCCGTGAAGACGCGTGCCTTTAAATGGGAGCAAAATCCGAATTTGGAAACCTCTGCGCTTGAAGCCCTGCATCGTGGAAGAAATTCAAATGTGGTGGCTCAAGAGGTGGTTGTCCAGCTTTCCTGTACTGTTGGGTTTTTAATCATGATAAAAATAAGAATTCTAGGTCCTAAGCATAAACATATCTGAGGATGGTGTACTGCCGTAAACATAGGTGTTACTTTGAATCCCCCCCCCATCGTCTTGATTTGCTTATTACCATGTTTCGGAGTCTTGGTCTGTTTCTGTCACAAATGTAAGGGAGGAAAAGATTTCTCCTCAGTTTGGTTCGTTAGACGGCAGACTCAACTGAGGAGGGGCATTTCCAGTGTTGTGGCGGATGGCGGAACGCTGTGTTTGAAGAAAACCCAAGTTGATGGACAGTGTCAAAATAATTCTAGATAATGCTTTTAACACAGAAAGTTGAGATCGTAAGTTTTTTTTATTGCTGGGGGGCGGAACTAAGTCCCTTGTACTGTGGCCACTTCTGGCCTATTTTACCAGCCCCAGATGATAGGTGAGGGTGATTGTGGAGCAATTGGTGAAATGAAGATTGGCAGGGGAAATCGAACTACTCGGAGAAAACCTGCCCCAGCGCCTCTTTGTCCACCACAAATCCCACTTGACCAAACCCGGGACTGAAACCGGGCCGCCGCGGTGGGAAGCCAGCGACCAACCGCTTGAGCTATGGCGTGGCCTATATCGTAAGGTAGGTAGTTAGTTAGTTAGTTAGTTAGTTAGTTAGTTAGTTAGTTATTGGGGAGGGTGGGTTTCCCCATGCACTTAGACCAATAACTGTGGGCTACACATCATAGCCTTTAGCGTTATGGGTCTTCCCGACTTGACAAGAATAGCGGCCGATTCTTCCACCTGGATTGGCGCTCACAAAAAACTGCATATGCGTGTAACTTACCTTAGGCACGTAGAAGTTTCAGGATAAGCTCTGCAGCCCGCATGATGTAACAGGAGCTCACTGAGTGTTATCACTTATTCTCGCTTATGCTTTAAAACTTTCCCGTTGATTAAAATCACGTGGATGTAGTAGACCTTCTGAAGTACACTCACTTCTGAATCTAACGCAGCGACTGCAAATATACAACGTATGAACTGTTATCAAGTGTATTCCATGTTCCCTACATAACACTGAACACGTAACCAATAACGAACATAGGGTCACAACTACCGAACACACATACACACAGAGGAATGAAAAAATAAACAAAGGAATAACTTGTTAGTAACAGGACAGACCTGCCCCGTGAAATGGTCAAGACGGTCAAGACGGTCAAGACTGCCATATCACTTTTCGTTCACCGAGCAGTTGAATAGCGCTACTGTCGTGTGACAGCTGAATTCTGCGCGAGGTGTGAGGAGGCCAAAATTATTGTGTCCAAAAGAAGTAGGCCTTGTCAGTCTTGCATATGACAAGACTTTTTATTTACAGGTGTGTACTCTTCTATCCCTGTTCTATCTTTTTTTTTATCAGGTCACGTTACCAGTGTCGAATAATTTCGTGGACAAGCCTGTAGTTACAGACATTGCAGTTTCTGTGCGTGTGGTTGCGCCAGTAAAATTCTTTACGCAGTTGACAAACAGTTGGGCTGATTGTGTAAACCAGACGAAAAATGGATTTATACAGAAAGCTTATTATGCCTGTCCTTTAAGCAAGTGTTATTTTTATGAAGACTCAGTAGTGACTGGGCAAAATGGGGTATTGATGTATTTAACAAATTTCCTAGAAGTGAGACAAGAGTATAACCCTGTGTGAAGTCCAAGTCTTCATAAGTTTTTTGTTGATGCATTCCGGCAAGCGCACACACGACGCGTGCGTACTCCAGTTATTTCGTATTTATGATATTTTGACTGCTTCTGTGCTTGAAATATAGGTATTCACAATTAAGGGCCCCGATAGGATACAGAAATTATTGTTTTGTATTGTTAGGATTGATTACTCCTATTCCAAACAATTGACGCCGGCGGGGAAAGGGGGGGTGAGCCAGAAAATGTTTGCCAAATTTATGGGTGTTTTTACTTATCCCCCTAGAGTATTCGAGGACATAAAAGAATATTTTAAATAATTACAATTTTTGGTATTTTAATATTAACTTATAGTAATAGTTAGTTTATGGAGTATATATATTTTTTTAATCCATTGGGTATATGGGCAGATGCCTGGCTTGGCCCTACTGTGTCATCTCCCATGTTCCTAACCCATTAAACCCCAATGGTTGATACATGTGTGGTCGGTCCATCCAGGAACATCCTTAATAATATTACATTCTCTCTTATATGAGCAAAAAAAAAAAATTAAGCATTTATAAAGCAGTAAATAAAATCGGGAGGGGAAAAAATCCTTCAAACTGAACAGGTTTTGTGTCTTTTGTACATAAAGGAATGTATGTTCCATTAAGAATATTAATGTAGTATCTCACACAATTTCATTTCTTCAGTTACTTTATTTTGGCACTTATACTGCAAACGCCAATTCTTCCTCAGACTTATTCATCAGTTTTGTTATTCTCTCAAGAACTTCCACTCCATGTCACCTAAAAGGGACGTGGAATGTAGTCACTAACCATGCCCATTGAAAACTATTCATCATAACTTCCTTTGCTGAAAGGCATGTTGGAAAACTTTTTGTTTTCATTCTTTGCACAAAGTGTGTAAAATGAATGGACTTCATTTAAATTTGGTATTGGAGTTGTCAAGGAAATTTAATTTTACTTTTCACTGGTCAAATATAAACCTCACAAGAAAACCAAATCAAACTTTATCAAGAATCTTTAACTGTAAAGAACTGTGCATAACATACAATGTGGACCTCAGTACAAACTACAACTTAATTTTTCAATATAGCAAGAATGTCAGAAAAAATTATTTCTGCTTAGTTGCTGTGAATGGCTTTACTACAGTGCTTATGAATTAAGTACTATATACAAGAACTGACTCTTGGCTTCAATTTATTTTTCTTTCTGTTTTTGAAGAAAATTTGTATTTACTTGAACATACTTAAATTGAAATTTATTTCAATGAACAAGTAGGTTTCGCTGAATATTTGATTGAAGTTAACGCTGCTGCTTTCACATATAAGGAAATGTGCCCATCTTCTTTTCTGACTGTGTTAAGGGCCTTAAATCAATTAAATCATCATTATTTCATCATATTTAGCGACCATGAAAGACTAAAATACTTGGTCATGATTTCATCAGATTCATCCAAAATCTCTAACATGGGCACAACTAAAGTTAACCTCCAAAAGTGTAAAACAAATATGAGACACTTCTGGTGCAAGGTATTCATCTAACTAATATTTAAAAAATTAATTTTCTATCTGAGAGAAAACACACTGTCTCCATTATAAAGGCCAGTTGTGTAATGCTCTTTAATGAAACATTCACTGTTTATTATATTGTATTTAAGCATCCTGTTGCATTCCACACTTCTATATGTATAATACAAACGCCGTCGTAAATGTAACACTTTATTGTAGTTCTTGTCCCCCTTCTTTCACACTATATGTTTTGGCCGCAACCGGCCATCATCAGGTAAATTTTACTTCATGTAGCTGTCACACTGCACTCAATATTAACATTTAAACTCCAGATTTCCAATTGTTCATTGCTCTGTTGTCAATCGATACCCGATATTCCAGAACTCCCCTTGTCGGTTTTGTCAATTATGTTTAAAATCTTTATTAATACTGACTCATCGATTGGTTTAAAATTTTAAATTCTCAATTTAGCTTTAATATTTAAAATTTAAATTTAAAATAAAAAATCATGGAGATACCTGCTCTGTGCTTATATGTGCTGCAGCAGCTACCTCTTGCTTTCAGCACAGCTCGCAGTGGCACGCACACAGAGAGCCTGCACAGAAAACACAGGCTTATTAATTTATTACACTTTATCCACCATAATATGTGAATGATAAATGTTTCTTGTTGTATGTTACATTTTCTGATGGATACTTTTCTTTATTGTTGCCTTTTAAATGTCTGGGTGTCCTATTGGTTACATGTAGTGCCAACATGTGATTTGAACCTTTTTATTGATAATATTTAAACATCAACAGTTTAATCTACCTTATAATTTATAAGTGTGTAACATGATTACACTAAGATGTACAACAATTGTAAAGCAAGATCTTTTTACCATTGAGCCTCTGAATATGACCCCAAAAGGCTGAAATATGTAAGGCAATATAAATATTGAATTCTTTATACCAAACTTTTTTACGTTGGATGGTTTATCTTTCCAAAGTTCATATAAGTGTAACGGCAAAGATGTCTCTTATTAAAATTCTTTTGGAAGTTATGTGTTTTAAGATAGTTTATAAAATCCAGTCATGAATTTTAGATGACTTTGTAAAGAGTGATGTCTAGTAGGCGAACCGTTACTGAAGCTAAGCATAATTCTTTTTTATCATTTTTGAATAGTTAATGAGCCATTATGGTTACATTTAGCTAAAAATTAATAAATTATGTAATCTTGCCTCTGTGAGCAATGAAAACAATAATTCTGAACATGTTGCTATCACACAGCTGCTCACACATGTGCACCATCAGAAGTGAAACATAATCCGCTCAGTGATCAAATGTTCCTTTTTCAGATCTAAATATTAAAGACCACGCTGGCAACACTCCTTTGCATGTGGCTGTGGAAAATGAATCTGTTGAGGTGGTTGACTACTTACTGCAAAGGTCAGTAGCAGAGAAATGAACATAGAAAATAAATCTGCTCTTTCACTAAAGTATCAGGAGTTTGCTTACAAAAATATTGGACACTGAGCCATGTTGAGCATTATTTTGTTTGATATAAAATGGCATTCCTTCATCTGCAAAGGTTGTATAGTGTTGAATGAGAGTGAAGGATGATTATGAAGGGTTAGCAGGTAAGATCTGGATGGACAGAGCTGTGGCCTAGTTCGGGGTACAATCCCAGCATTTACCTAGGTTTTCTGGGGATAACTACAAAAACTTTCAGTCGGAATAGTGATTAAACCAGCAGGTAGCATTTATTATTATCAATGTTAATCGGACTTAGACCACAAATATTATAGTATAATGCTGCAATACATAACGTAACATGAGTTAAACTGCACAGTTCAGTTAGCCCAACACAAAAATACATATTAGGTATTATCTGCTCAAATGCAGATATTTTATACAGCTCAGCTCAAACCAAAGTATAGTAACACAAAATTCCAAGTGCATAATTTATAGATTCTAAAGGGTTCTGACCGTGGTGGATGACACACAAAATTACTGGGGTTTTGGACTTTTTACATCATCCGGAATTCTAGGTAATAGAGGACACGACGTTTTGGAAACTGGATCTGTTTCTGTCTTCAGGTGAGAAAGGAAGACACCTACGGAAACTGTTTCTGTCTTCAGGTGAGAAAGGAAGACACCTACAGAAACAGATCCAGTTTCCAAAACGTCATGTCCTCTATTACCTAGAATTCCGGACGATGGAAAAAGTTCAGAAACCCAGTAATTCTGTGCATAATTTATAGTTTCATACATTCCAGTTATTTCTATAATTATCAATACTCAAAAATTTATTTCACATTTCCGTGCAAATTTTAACTCAATAGTGTGTTGGCAGAAAATGTAACTGAGATGTACAGCATGTAATATCACTTTAAGTCATGGCCAAAGTATCTATTTTAGTACAGAGAGGAAATTTATTATAAGGGCTCATAATATTATGCTGCAGCATCCTGTTGCACTGTGTATTCTAACTTTGTGTTCTCGCGCTTTGCCATCTTTGTGCAGCTTCATCGGTATATTAATATTCACATTTCAACATAATTGTCTCTTCTCAGTATACTACACTACATGTTTCATCCTAACTGACCATCATCAGGTGTATAAGATGCTGGATTAAAGGAACATGTCAATCTGCCATCCTGGTGTTCTGCTTTTGATTTTGATGTAAAATGAGAACATCTACACACAGCACAAAAGGATGAACCAACAGATCAACAAAACATACACCAGACACTTGCATAACACATGATAATTTAAAATACCTAAAATAAAATATTTTAAAAACATTTTACATCAAAATGAAAAGCAGAACAGTGTGATAGCAGAGCAGCGGGTTATATTAATCCAGCATCTTATACACCTCATGATGGCCAGTTAGACTGAAACGTATAGTGTAGTATACTGAGAAGAGATGAGGACAAACACTTGTGAATATTAATATATCAACAAGATTGCACAAAGATGGCAAGAATTACTCTGTTTTCTGTTACAAACTGAACTTCATTTCCAGTAATTAGGATATCAAAATTTTTGCTTTTAAATATAGAAATTTTTATGCTGAAAGAAGCCAGCTTTTTAAAATTAAAAGATATTTGTATATAGTACCTGTGCCATGAAACAGTTTAATGTTTCAAAAATTTAATCTCCAAATCCATTTGTGTCCAATACATTAATGTCTGGTGGTTAACACTGGTTATTACTGATACCATCGCTCTCACACTACTCAGTATTATAGATTTCCAGTAGAAAGTTTTAAATGTGTATGTGTTTTTTTCTTGGGGGGGGGGGCAATGTTCAGACCAGCACTTGAACTAGTCCAGATTCATATGCAGTGAGTACCAGTAAATGTTTCCTTGAAGTAACAGCCCAAGCATAATGCTGAGCATTCACTTCCATTTATTGCCAAGGTAGAGTGTATAGAGCTTTATCTCAACACTTTCAAGGCATAATGCTTACCACAAGGAAGACGTTGCCTTTTTTTTTTTTTATTATATATTTCTCTTCGCAATAATAACACGGAGCATTCCAAGCTAATAAATTTTTGCGTGTCTGGAACTGATCCTTTGTAACATAACATCCTTGGTATTATCAGAGAAACCCTATACATTGACATAAATTGTGTAAGTAAACACAATACCGATTGCAATGGCCATGCAGTCTAAGGCATGAACTGTCTTCGCTCGCTCGAACACTGGGATCATGGGTTCAAACCCCACTCAAAGTATAAATTTCTATAGGCGTTTATTCTGTGTTTGTGTTGTTCTCCATGTAGGTAGTGGCCTTGTGGCGGGTTGATCCCCCGCCCAAGAAGTTCAACCTGCTATGTGTAGGATTAAGAAACTGAAAAAGCAGCCAAGGTCCAACAAAGAGCTATAGAACCATAGAGGGATAGATAGAGTAAACATAATACATGAAAAGTATAACATGGGACAAAAATGCAAGATGTAATATTTCCAGTGGTGTAAACACAAGCATACTGAATGACAAGAAACAAGCGCCAATTCATCTGGTGACAGAATTGAACAAGGTGGCAGTGCTGGAAGTAATGAGCAAGTATAAAGACCGCATTGACATCCTGCAAGGGGGAGAACATGGCCGTACAGCTCTCCATCTAGCAGCCATCTATGATCATGAAGAGTGTGCACGAATACTTGTGAGTGTGAAATTTTTAAAAATCTATTTGTCCTTGTTGCCGGTCACGGTAGCCGAGTGGTCTAAGGCATGCACTGTCTTCGCTCACTCCGGAAACCGAGATCGTGGGTTCGAATCCCACTCAGGGCATGGATGTTTGTGTGCATTTTTCTGTGTTTGTCTACAGGTAGAGGCCTTGCGAGGAGCTGATCACTCGCCCAAGGAGTCCTACCATACGTATAAGATCTAGTAAACCGAAGTGAAACGGAGAGTTTCATGGAGGTAGGCCTAGGCCCAAATTGGGGCTGTAGTGCCACAGAAAAAAAAAATGGTCTTTGTTACATTTTGCATGGTTTATATGAAGAATTTATTAATGCATAGTTTTGAAAGTTTTATTTTTGTATAGAGAGATGTGAAATATTGTTAAATACAAATAATATAGTAATAAATGACAGATCATTTGTAGTTTGGGAGGTGAAGGAAGGCGCATACATGCAAATAATCGCACATTAAATCACAAAATTGTGATCTGTACAATGGACTCTAATGCTGATGATCATATGCACATAATTCAACATTATAGCATAAAATTGTGATCTTAACAGTGGTCTCTCATGCTGATGAAGATCTGAGTGGATCAGAAAGTATATTCTTTGGTGCCAACACATGATTACACATGCCTCTCTAGGCCCCACAACTAGCAAGATCACTATCTTTTCATACCATATTTTGTTACTTCCTGATATGTAAAGTTAGCTGTGAATATCTTGAATGAATTACTGTGGACAGCAAGGAAGCGTGGGCTTCCCACACTTGGATGGGAGAAACATGCTACACATATAGAATTTGGGTGGGGAAATTTCTAGGAAAAGTGGCCACTTAAAGACTGAGATGGGCTTGGAATTGTGGTATTAATGTAGATCCGAGGGGAAATTGATGGTGGGGATATGAACTGATTGTAATATCTCATACCAGGAGGTGGGCCTTCAAATTAACAGAGTTGATTTATTTGTTTCTGTTAGCAGATAGCAAAAAATAATAGCCCTGTTAATTTTTCTAACTTTCTTAGTTTTCTTTATTATTTAGTTTTGTTACATTCTTGTTTGTTAACCATCTAGTATGTGAAATTTATCATTTCAGTGAGAGACACTTAGTAAACAAATATTCCTGATAATTAACTAATATGGATATAGTCACTGTAACACAGAATAGGGTCAGCAACGAGCACATACTGTACCACCGTAGGAACACAAAAGGAGAGTAATAAGTCTGTTGTAATCACATTTGACATATTGTGATGCTTTATTGTGAAAGCCCCTTTATGGTATTCTTTTCACTTACTAACTTTCTACGGGACACTGGAAGGCAGGAAATAATTAAGTTTTATGTTGCATAGTAACCAGGAAGTCCCGTCTTCCTTTATACATTTTGTAACAAATGACAGCACAGTGGATTACTGTGAAACTCCCCAGAGTCTTGCATGTCACATTAACATTATGTGAAGTAGTACTATCCTTTCTGATAGCATTTCATGGCAATATGGCAATGCTTTCACTTCTGTTTACTAGGTTTCATAGCCGAATAAATTACAGACAGACAAATACGATTTCTTTATCCAAATTTGCGTCTTCCAGTTATGTAATATTCTGTATAAAATTGTGCAATAATCACATACTTGTATTTGTTCTTTTGCTTGTTTTTATCTAAAATTCAACTCAAGCTTTTCTATATGTTGTATTTAAATTCATTCCTTCCTAACAGAACATTTAAATTTCACTGCCAAAATTTTCAGGCCTTCCTTCAAAATTATTCTCTATTTGCCAACTTTTGATTAGCTATGTCAGCAGTATAATTTATGGTTCTACATGAACACAATTCTGTTTCAGATGGAATTGATCATTAGTAGAGATGCTATATAATTATTTTATTTTTAACAAAGTTAACATACAGTGTCCCAGAAGGAAAGGTCAGTATTCTGGGAAGACATAGTATCGGTCATTCTGTGCAAAAAAGTATATAGGTACATGTGTCCTATTCTGATGGTGTCCGAGATACAGCTATTTCACTGTACAGCTCCAAAATTATTGATGAGAAAGAGATATTACATACCGTGTCTATGCCGGTATTTATTATTCAGGTGACAAAGTTGATACAGTTTACCTAATATAATACCTGTGGGAACATCCCACATACTCTCACGCTGCTTCGCTGATCAATGGACAACGCTCACTCCTAAGTCAATAGCACATTGCTGCACATTGCTGTCAGCTCTCATATTTATACAGCGCTCGCTGTCCAGCTCACTTTTCACCATCACACGCGCTAACCAATCACATTGCTGCCATCACTCATATTTATACAGCACTCGATGCCCAGCTCACTCATAATTATTACATGCACTAGCCAATCAGTGCTCACAACAGCAACTACAAGTCTAAGCTCCTCCCACCAAGATTGGTATAAAAGACAGAGCTCCAACCTAGCAATCATCAGTGACCACATCAGCCAGTCAACTGTCACACTTAGTCCAGAGCGACCGGTCTTCGGAGTCATCGGCTCTTCACTGCATCAGGGACGGCTGCCTCGGCTCTCCGGTGGTCATGCCCAACACACCGGGCAACTGGTGCAGCTGCCGCCACTCCAGCGACCGCGCTCCGCGACCAACCACCCACGAGCAACCATGCTCTGTGACCAGGCAACTTCCGGCAACTTCCACACTTTGACCAGACAACTAACTCAGCTGCCACATTAGCCAACACACTGTAGCCAACAGCTATTTCTACCGGCGCACGCAGCACTACATCACCGGCCAGACAGACCAGCCGAACAGCCGTAAAACTCCGTCTACCGCGGTGGAACAAACAGCTCTTTTCAGGGCCCACAAACTTTCCGAAGTGGGTGTCTATTAGAGCATCGACAAATCCCACATACCTTTTCAAAAATTCTACTGACAACTTTAATGCAATTTGCAACTCATGTTAGGAGATGGCATGTTGCTTGGCTGAGTGCATTTTGATGTACTACTGTACAGTCATTTCTCATCTATGAGTGATATGTAATGGCTTAATTTGGATGCTTAAATTGCAGACAGCATATATAAAGTACATGTAAACATACAGTACACTGAAGTATCATTTACTGAGTGCTAAAATTATTAAATAAACTTAAACATTATAGCACAATGTAAAGTGATAACACTAATTAAATGAAGAGATTATATAACAATAATTAAACTACATGAAATGTAGTACTGATCGCCAATAATGTGTTGCTGCAAAGATGAATCACCCTATGCAGGAGTAACAGCCTGTGCAGGCTTCTTCTTAGGATCAAAGGTATACTTAGAGTAAAAAAGAAAAATGTAAAGCCGTCCCTGTAACAGGCTGTGAAGGACTGTAGGGGTGTGAGAGGTGGAGGCTCCCACATCTAGACAGTTGCCTCATAGATGGCGGCGAGGTTGTCAGCCTTACGCACCAGCTACCCTTTACCCCCCAAGAAAATTCCTGGTACTCATTTTTGTTAGAGGCTGAGTCAACCCCAGGGCCACAGTGCAGCTAGAAGGATCAGGTCAATTGAAAAATCCAGTGACCTCATAGGAATTCGATCCTGCGACCTTCCTGCTTGTAGGATAGTGCTACCCTGGTATCCTTAGGGGCCAGTCAACAATTAATTGTAAACTGGTATTAAAATATTTAATATTTGGGTTATTTTATTTTCAACCCACTACATGTTTCAGTCTGTTAAGATCATCATCAGGTCGTTTTTATGGATTATATATGTCATTATTGAGTTGTTAAAATGGATCAATTTTTACATGTATCAATAATATTATAATCTAAATTTTAATCTTAAATTATTGTGTGGGATATGACTCAAATGAAATATGCTAAAAGTTAAAATCTAGTGGTTAAATACATCTGATGCTTGATACACAACAGAGGCAGAATATAAGGATTCTTAGTTAAAATCTAGTGGTTAAATACATCTGATACATGATACACAACAGAGGCAGAATATAAGGATTCTTAGGAGCTGTAGGTTGCTGCTTTTGTGACACTTTCTCTCATCACCTGCAATTTATCTTCAGCTCTATCACTGGCATGTCTCTTCTATACATTCTGGCTGTAGATAATTTCAGATGTTCTTAAAAATCACTAATAAAGAAATGTAATATTTAAGGCCAACATATATTTTTCAAGTGAAGTAACTTAAATTAATTTCTTTCAAATGGCATTAATCAGGACTCAGCATACTTCTATTTTATGAGCAGATGTATGGCTTCCAAAATCAACTGTTCATTCAAATTCTTAGGATAGTTAAACAAGAAAACAGCTTCCAAATAGGACAGCTTTCAGTGGGATCATCATCATCATCATCATCATCAGTAATCTGTCAGACAACAGGTCCACAGTCTCTTCCAAAACAATTCCTCCACTTAATGTGATCTAGAGCTTTCTCCTTCAAATGACAGTGTCCTCTTCTGTCCCCAAGGTCATCCAGTATCTTCTTACGTCTTCTTGTCACTTCTATCCGCCCCTCTATCTTTCCTTCAATAACTTCTTTTAGAAGGCAGTTTCTACGTAAAACATGACCAATACAATTAGCCTTCCGTTTTCTTATTTTGTGTAGGATATTCCTCTGCTCACTGACTCTAATTAACACTTCTTCATTTCTCACATAATCGGTCCAACTTATCTTCTCCATCCTTCTCCAACACCACATTTCGAAACTTTCCAGATGTTTCTGATCTACTGCCCTAAGTGTCCA